AATGGGCTTTGAGCTGAGTGAGAGGGAAAGTGTGCCAGATGAATGGGCTAAAAAGGAGCTTTAGAGACAGTGCAGCTCAAAGGGAAGAGGGCAGCTAACTAAAATGTATTTTACTGGGTCAAGCATTTTGCTCTGCAGTTACTTTGATTGCAAAGTGAATCTCATACAAAGCAGAGGGACTGCCCATAAAGTGAGTGTTCCATCAGCCAGTGTTCTCTTCAGTCACGCTCCCAAGTGTATCAGTCTGGACCCCTTCTGCCCTTTTGTACAAACCTGAAATAGGGCACATTGTGTTGTGGCTCTCCTGCTGGGTCAGATGAATCGCTGGCTGGCAGATCCACTTTCTGTGGATTGATCTGCTTTTCAAAGGGAGTCGCATCCATTGTTTCTTCAGTTACACATTCTGAAAGATGAAGGATATTTTTACAAAGAAAACTGCAGAACACTGTAAAAAGTACAGGGAAAAAAGATCATGCCGCAATATAACTCTGTCAGTCCGCCTGGTTGAATGAATTGCCTGCCTTTTGACGACTTATCAAGTTTAAACTTATACTGTATATCCATAAAACTGTAATACAGTGGTACCTTGGGTTAAGAACTTAATTCATTCCGGAGGTCCGTTCTTAACCTGAAACTGTTCTTAACCTGAGGTACCACTTTAGCTAATGGGGCTTCCCACTGCTGCTGCGCCGCTGCCATGCAATTTCTGTTCTTATCCTGGGGCAAAGTTCTTAACCCGAGGTACTATTTCTGGGTTAGCGGAGTCTGTAACCTGAAGTGTCTGTAACCTGAATAGGTGCTATTGGAGGATACAGGAAGTTGCAACAGTTTACAATTCAAGACTATATCACTCTCCAGTCTCAGCCGCAATGATAAATCAACTTAAGCTTCAGTCCACTAAATGTCACAATCTTAAAAATAGGTTTAGCATTTTAATTGTGTTTTACAATGCTTGAAGTATTTTGGGTGGACATCACACGAACAGCATGCAGTTCCTGTTCCTAAATTTGAAACTTTCAGTAGCTGCTTTGAAAGCCTTGTGGGGCTATGAAGCAAGATACATATTCCATATGAACAGATCGATAGCTTAGGAAAGCCTTACAACAAACCTATAAGGCAGGTTGGCATTGCAGGTGAAGGGGCTGGGAGAAGGGCAACTTGACTAGGACCAGTTGTGAGTTCAAAGTGGAAGGCTGAAGGCTAGCAACTATGCTACAAAAGCGCTCTCCCTCCCTCCAACACACCTGTGTTAGCATCTGGAAATTCAAGTACAGACGGATGTTCCTGAAGATCTGCCTTTGTCATTCCTGGGCTAGAGACCTTCTGTTTAAGCCCACAGTCCTGTGGCAAAGCTTCCAGAGCACCTTCTCCAGGGACTTTGCTAGGAAGAATAATAATTTACTTGGCATTATGTTTTAATGTATTTTTAATCTTTTGTTGGAAGCCGCCTAGAGTGGCTGGGGAAACCCAGCCAGACGGATGGGGTATAAATAAATTATATTATTATTATTATTATTATTATTAGGCAAGCATCTGAATAGACAGAACATTACAGCATTTAGGCAGTTAAGTTCCATTAGCACAGAAACTCTCCTGCAAGGAAAGGAATGGCGGGGGGGGCTGCTTCTCTTACATGGCATTTTGACTGGGTCAAGGCAGTGCACTCATTTGCCACAGATACTTCAAAATAAACAGCAGGCAGCTTTCCACTGATATTTTTAACGAAATCAGGCTTGCAGATATTCAGATCACTCAGGAAATCTGAACACTGGATCTGAGCCTTCATAAAATTGGCCTTAGTCAAGGTGTCAACTCTAAAGGACTTCCCAGATCTCATGCTTCTATCAAATGATGCACATCAAAAGTGGATAATATCTTTGGGGACAAAGGCCACAGCAATTCATAGTAAAACCTTCGGGAGCTGGAAGTACCAATTTTTAATTTCTAAAAAGGACAATTTTTGCAGAGGTCAGAGAGATGTTACAAAAACACTTGGGCAACTCCTTATCTCATCAGAGGACCCTATGGTATCCCATTACCTGGTGGTCTCTGCAGGGCTCCAGCAAAGATTGGGCGACAGGAATACATCTGCCTTGGAAGGGGACATTGGCTTGACTTTGTAGGCAGTCAAACCCTCCAGAGGCTTGAACACAAAATTCTGAGGGGCAAATGAGCGCTCTCTCCTTTGTGGTGCAGGAGCCAGGATGATAGGGGCTGGAAGGTTTTCTTTCTCCAGGTTTTCTTTCTTCAGCTTTGCGGCTGTAGCCAAAGGGATTTGGGTGATCAGAGGCTCCACTGAATGATTCTCTTTCACGCCACACAACACCTGTAACAGGACATAAAGGTTTATTTCTTTTTCTTGAATTATATGGACTTTTCTCAGCCAGTGAGAGGAGACAACATCTCACCCTAAATGCATTATAAGAGTGATACACACAGTTTCCATCATTGTTACCCTTCTAGAAATATGCATGCAGATGGGACAACTAGAAAAGCAGATAACATTGGAAATGTTGGCTGATGGGAAGCGAAGTCCACTGACGTATGGAGAGCCACCCAGTCCCCGAACCCTGCTCAAGATTCTTAATCTTTCCCCCATTACAAGTTGATAACAGCAATCTAACAAACAGGGCTGTAGAGATTATTGATATGAAGATTGCAGTGTGTGAAACACTAGGAAAAGCCAAGACACTTACTGTTGCCTTTGAATTTCTGACCCCCCTCTGCTGCTGCTTGCTGTTACTTGCTTCCCTTTTCTGCGGCAGAAAACCTAAAACAAGAAAAGCTGCAAGGTTCTGAAAAGCTCATCAAAACAAGGAAGGACAAGTCAGAGAAGTTTCTCAAAAGCTTTCTATGGGGACACATCCCAGATATTTGGGAAGGGCAGTTGTAGTGAAGAAGCAAAGCATTGTGGGGAGACCGAAAAGGCCAAAGGATTTATGGGGAATGCGTTCTTGTTGCTTTAAGTGGAGACTTGCTGTCTATGGGAGTGAGAATCCTTATCGTGAGCATCTGCAAAAAGAAACTCACCAAGTGATTAGTGGTATTCTAGCACCTGGTACTTAACAAAGCTGTCTGGGTGTGAATGAGTTATCAACCCTAATCACTCTGAGAATGGGTATCTGGTGAGTCTCTGAAAATAAGGAGGAAGCTTTTGATCCAAGTTCCTGAGAATTAACAAGCTCAGCTGCCCCAAGTTAAGTTATTAGTCAATTAGCTGACCATTGGTGAATTTAAACATCATCAAGAATTTTGATTGGATCGGAGTTCTGTTTCCAAGTGAGTTTTAGAAATAAAGACTCTGAGCCCCTCTGTCAGCTTACCACCTTGCTGATAGTCTCCTGCCTGTGGGTCTTTGTAATGAAGATCTTTTCTGTCTTTGAGATGCAGATTCCATTGAGGACTTTGAAATTATACTAACTTTACCTTTGTTCTCATTTGTAAGTATGTTAGCTAGCTATACTTTACAGCATTATTGTTTTCTGTTTGAACTGTATAAGAGAACGTGCCTACTTTTAAAAGTATATTTAAACCTTTTTTTTAAAATAAATTTTAAAAAGAGAACTTTCCTTGTCCTGTGTGCCATTCTGGGGGGAAGTCTGAGTCCAGAAGCCTGACCAATCAGTTTCGCACTACCTGTTGAATTTCTGCCTGCATTTTTGTGAAAGTAACTTGCAGGGCAGGGCAGCCGGTAACTAGGAAGCATAACTTTCTCCCTTGAGTTACATTTTCTGGTGCCCTGGTACAAGGGAGTGGTGGCAGCAACTATAGTGGTGCCCCGCAAGACGAATGCCTCGCAAGACGGAAAACCCGCTAGACGAAAGGGTTTTCCGTTTTGGAGGCGCTTCGCAAAACGAATTTCCCTATGGGCTTCCTTCGCAAGACGAAAGCCCATAGGGAAATCTCCGGGACAGCGGGGAAGCGCAGCGCATCTTCCCCACTGTCCTCGGACCTCCTCCGAAGGCTGGCGGCGGGGCGGAGAGACCTCCTCCCGCCGCCAGCCTTTGTTTCTCCGCTATCCCGGACGGCTTTTGAAGGCAGGCGGGGGGGAGCAAAGACTTTCGCCCCCCGCCGGCCTTCAGAAGAGGTCCAGGACCTCTTCTGAAGGCCGGCGGGGGGCAAAAGTCTTTGCTCCCCCTGCCTGCCTTCCCGGGGGCTTTTAAATCGCCCCGGGACAGCGGAGAAGTCCTCCGCTGTCCCGGGGTTTTTTAAAATGCAGAGGGTGGGAAGAAAAGCCCTTGTCCCCCCCCCTAGCCTTCAGAAGAGGTCGGGGGACAGACTGTCCCCGGACCTGGTCTGAAGGCGGTTTCCATAGGAACGCATTAATTGATTTTCAATGCATTCCTATGGGAAACCGTGCTTCGCAAGACGAAAAACTCACAAGAAGAAAAAACTTGCAGAACGAATTAATTTCGTCTTGCGAGGCACCACTGTACCCTTTTGATGCATTTTGTCCTATAAAAAGTATATGCTGCCGGCCGCCGTTTCTCTGAACCTGACCCGGCTGGATGGTAAGGACAGGTGAGGGAGGGGCGCGTGGCCGGAGCATTACTACAGTAGTAATATTTAGAGCGCTGCTTCCAGTCAGTGTACAGACTATTGAGCTAGATGGACCAATGGCTGACTCAGTATGAGGCAGACTCCTATGTTCCTGGAGGAAAAAAACATGTTGAAAGTTCAATTTGGGCCAAGAAGAAAATGCAGAGTTGTCGCTATATGCATTGCTTGACGTTTCACTCCCCAATCCACAGCTATTTACTACCTCACTCACCTGCGCTCACAGCGGGCCGAGATATCTGTGGTATTTTGGTCAGAGCAGCAGCAGTGGCCCTTGTAGCTCTTCTAGCAGCAGTTGTGGAAGTTGAAGGCTGCACCCCTGAAGGTCGGGGGAGAGAGAGGAAGTTGATGTGTACTCCTTAAAACATTTCACATTCTGGGTGCAAGACGTCAACAGCACAACCTACTCAGAATCAAGTCCCAGTGTGTTTTAGCAGAGGCTGTACGTGGCAGCAATTCACAGAAGACCTGATGACTGGACAGGATCTGCCGTGGGAGCCAATAGATTTCTGTACGTGGCTGTTGGGAGTCACACTCATACGATTAACAAATGCAACCAATTCCAACTGCAGCCACATTGCTTTCCATGTCCAGGAGTTCAATGGAAGACTTGAACTCAGAGCTCCAGGAGCAGTGCTTTAGCACTACGCTATCCAGAAACTCACACGTATAGTAGCCCCAAAAGGTTTGGGGCAATCCTGTAGTGTTTGGAAGACGATGCATACCTTTCCTCTCTTTGGAGGGTTTGTCTACGTAGATCTGCCTCTGGTTATGCTGAGCTGTTTGCGGAGTGGAGCCCTTGCTAGGTACCATCTATAGAGAGAAATGGAGTCAGGGTTTCATAAATGCATAACTTTGTTACTGTGAGACACACACACACACACACACACACACACACACAGTGTTTACCATCCATTTACTTCTACAGGGCCTTCCTTTAATTCCCAATAAGACAATTACCTCAGTTATATGAACCTTACATCTATTTTTGCAAATAAACCCATTTGCAAATATTCTGGCCAAACATATATAGGTAGATTAGGATTTACTTTGCCATTATTAAATTTTTATAAGGGCTCAAATTAACATAAAATATTTGCAAAGCTACAAACTTTTTGAGTTGGCTATGACCCTTAATTTCAAGCTGCAAACACATAACACACAAACCTAACCCCATATGGAAAAATAAATAAATAACAACACCAACAATAAAGACTATCTACCCCTGGTTTATTACCAAGCTGCCATAGTTCTAGCAGCTCATTTTTCTGTTCAAACCACATGTAAAAGAATAAAAATGTAAGACAAACCACTGATTGCGGTGGTCTAGCTGGTGGTCTGATTGATTCTTGCAGTTGGTTCTTCACCTTTGACCTTGTTAACCGCGTTTCCTAGGAATACCCAACAGATAGAGTAAGCACACATCACCCCCAGAAACACACATTTCCTATTAAATTTTAAACCAATAAACATTTAAAAAAACAACAAAAACCTGCATTTGTACCTCCTAACCAGAGTAGCCAACCATATGAAATAATGACCAGGCTGTCCAAAATCAGTGACCATAATCAGGTATCCTGACAGACACGAAAAAAGCAACTCTCTCAAATTTATGTGACAGACCACCACCTTCTATGATGCATGCATGATGCTTTTAGGGTGGTCTCTACTGAAGGGGTTGGACAATTTCAAAAGTCTTTAAAGGTTCCTGCACACTTTATACTTGGTCTCTCTTACCTCCTTACCAGGAGGGGAGGGAACTTTGTTGGAACAGAAAAATAAAGACTTGCCTTGCTTTCACTGCATCCTGCCTCCATCCATTTGTCTCTGATGGATAATGGACTTAGGGGACTCAGTACCTTGGGGAGTTGGGCAGCAAAAGCCACCCCCCTATTTTTCTATAACATACCTATCAGCATACCTCTGACCAGCAAACCAGGGCAAACACCATGCTCAAATTTGTTCTTACTGAGTACATTTATCTACTTTGAGGTGAAAACCTGTGTACACAGGTTTACCCTACATCCAGTGCGCTCAAATTACCGGTTTGGGAAGTGGTATACACACAATGTTAGCCACACTCCAGATCTATCCTGTCATTTCCTTTGAAATATTGTGCTTTGATGCATTCCCCCTCCCCCCTAAAAAAAACCGTTTTCAAACTGAAAGAATGGCCTAGTTGTGCTTAAGGCCAGTAATGTGTGCACAGCCCAAGTCACATTAGAAGGTTGCATGCATATGTTATTTTCCCCCTGATGGAAGTGCTTGAGTGTTTGAAATGAGAACTTATGTACTTCCCTTATCGTGCTTCAGGGGACAATCTTATTCAAAACAAGCTACCCTGGCAAACCCCTGCTCTGAAGGCCCTTGACTTTAATAATGGAACACAAGTGACTGTCAGCACCACAATTACACATAACACACATCAATTATTGGAGTGCCCATTGTGAATCAGGCTGATTCCTTCCTTCCTTAACCACTACCCACCAATCCCTTTTTTTCTGGTCCACATAAGGCATACCACCCCTCCAAAATCAGAACCTATTTCAAACCATAATATTCAACTCTGGTTTGGACAAACTAGGACAACCCAACAACATGGAAAAGAAACACAAGAGAGTTAAGTACACGTACCACACTTGCTGCTTTTGTTACAGTCTCCCTTGGCTTGCTGAGCACCGGTATATTTGATGGTTTTGAAAGGAAGCCAGGTGCCTCTGGTTTGAATTGCCCACATTTAAATACAGGCTTTCTCTGCTCTTTTAACTTCCGTAGTTCTTTCTCAGCTTTGTAACGCTGTAGCATTTCCAAACGCTCCTGTTCGCGAGATTTAGCTGAAGCACTTGATTTCTGGCCTACATGGGAAGCAAAAATAACTTTAGATCCCATAGAATAACTTCAGAGGAATTAACAGTCCAATCACATCTGTGTTTACATCAAAACATCTCATGGATTTCAATATGATTTACTTCCAAAAGAGACCTAAATTGGAGACAGCCATATTCATCTACCTATCCACTATTACCCCAAAGTCTCATTCCTGGTCTTTCAGTCCAGAGGATGAGTCCAAAGTCTCATTCCATTGTCTTTCAGTCCAGAGGATCAAATATGCAAAATTAGTATTATCTGCCACTACATGAATCACTTTACACTTGGGTACACTGAATTGCACATGCCATTTTACTGCCTGTTCGCCCACTTTCAAGAGATCTTTTTGGAGCTCTTCAAAATCTTTTTGTTTTAACCACTCTGATAAATAATCTACTATCATCAGCAAATGAGCCTCTCCCACGTCACCTCTAACTTAACATCTTAACGTTTGGGTGCCTTAGAATTCTGGGGTGGGTGACGTCTGAACTTGGCTCATTTATCAGTTTCTGTTTTGTTAATAAGGCCTCTGTAGCACATTAACTTTGTAGATGTAGGAAACTCTACAATGACAGAGTCTAGAAATCACTGCTTTGTCAAACACGAGTTGCAAGTCTTTACTTACTTGACTTTGTGCTGCTCCTCAGGAAGTATCCTTCACCTGACTCCTCCAGCAGTGAAGGCTCACCATTTCTTGATGCCTGTGTGTTGACATCAATGAGTCCAAACTGCCTGCCTTTATTAAATTCCTTGTGTCTGCTCTCCTTTTGGGAAATGGACTTTCGGTGGGCAAGTTTTGTCTTCAAGGCCTCCGTACTTAGGTCCTTTTTGTACCGAGCAGCAAAAGTGGCAGCCATCTTGCTGTTTTCTAGATGCAAAGTGAGAAAGATTATAGGCTATGGATGCCCGCCCTTCGGTGGCACCCTGCTTGCACTACAGTAGTGATGTATGGAAGTGAGAGCTGGACCATCAAGAAGGCTGATCGCTGAAGAATTGATGCTTTTGAATTCTGGTGCTGGAGGAGACTCTGGAGAGTCCCCTGGACTGCAAGAAGATCAAACCTATCCAATCTGAAGGAAATCAGCCCTGAGTGCTCACTGGAAGGACAGATCCTGAAGCTGAGGCACCAATACTTTGGCCACCTCATGAGAAGAGAAGACTCCCTGGAAAAGACCCTGATGTTGGGAAAGATGGAGGGCACAAGGAGAAGGGGACGACAGAGGACGAGATGGTTGGACAGTGTTCTCGAAGCTACCAGCATGAGTTTGACCAAGCTGCGGGAGGCAGTGGAAGACAGGAGTGCCTGGTGTGCTCTGGTCCAGGGGGTCACAAAGAGTCGGACACGACTAAACAACAAAAACAACAACTGCCTGCAATAGGAGTCTTGTATAGCTCAATATACAAGAGCCTAGTCCAGCATCCAGTTCTCACAGGGGACAATGAGGTGCCCCAATGGGGAACCCTTAAGCAGGATTTGAACGCAACAGCACCTTTCCCCACTTGGAATTCCTTGTAAATCGTCCAGACAGAGAAAACTACAATATCCCTGCATGCAGAGGAAGTGGCTACTTGAGGATGTGCAATCAGGAAGAATGTAATGCTATGAAACAGCGTCTTGATGCAGGGGTCAGCAAACTTTTTCAGCAGGGGGCTGGTCCACTGTCCCTCATACCTTGTGGGGGGCCAGACTATAGTTTGAAAAAAAGATGAACGAATTCCTATGCCCCACAAATAACCCAGAGATACATTTTAAATAAAAGGACACATTCTACTCATGTAAAAACACGCTGATTCCCGGACTGTCCGCGGGCCGGATTTAGAAGGCGACTGGGCCAGATCTGGCCCCTATTTTGCCTAACCATGTCCTGAGATATCTGGATGAGGGGTGGTTTGCAAATTTAACACATAGTAGCAAGTTCCCTATGTATGGAAGTGAGAGCTGGACCATAAAGAAGGCTGATCGCCGAAGAATTGATTCTTTTGAATTATGGTGCTGGAGGAGACTCTGGAAAGTCCCATGGACTGCAAGAAGATCAAACCTCTCCATTCTGAAGGAAATCAGCCCTGAGTGCTCACTGGAAGGACAGATCCTGAAGCTGAGGCTCCAGTACTTTGGCCACCTCATGACAAGAGAAGACTCCCTGGAAAAGACCCCGATGTTGGGAAAGATGGAGGGCACAAGGAGAAGGGGGCGACAGAGGACGAGATGGTTGGACAGTGTTCTTGAAGCTACCAGCATGAGTCTGACCAAACTGCGGGAGGCAGCGGAAGACAGGAGTGCCTGGCGTGCTCTGGTCCATGGGGTCACGAAGAGCCGGACACGACTAAACAACAACAAGTAAGTTCCCTGCTGCAGGATCAGGCCAAAGGGGGCCCAGCATCCAGATCTCCGAGTGGCCGACCAGGTACCCCAGTTGGGAATCCCACTTGTGGTTCCCACCAACCGGCACCCAGAAGCATTTGCTTCCTCCCAGCTGCGGAGGCAGAGCAGAGCCTTCGTGGCCATTGACTCCAATGGGTCTACTCCGAGAAGGACTGGCATCGCAGGCCACCTAATATCCCGGAATTATTCAGAGGACAGCGCGCTCGTTGGAGAGCAGCCGCGATTGATGCCTCCGCAAATCTTCCCAACCCTCATTGTGAAAGCCGTCCAAGTAGGCGGCTATCTTGTGGCAGGGAGTTCCGCAGACCCGCTCCGCGAAGGAGGA